TTATTTAATATTAAAAATTAAGATACATTAGAACTATTTACCTATCATACAATCTACGTCTGCACAGCTGACAAAATACGTCTTTTTATGTATGTATCTATTACATTTGGGTTCATCATCATCATATGTTATATGCATACGCTGCAGAGAGAGAGAGAGAGAGAGAGAGAGAGAGAGAGAGAGAGAGAGAGAGAGAGAGGAAAGGAGAAAAAAGAATAGTTTAAGCGTCATGTGCGTACACAGCGTATCGTAATGTGAGTTTAAATTTCGATATAACATGTCCACGATGAGATTACAGTTTTAGCGCAGCAACGTATGCTTGACATGAGTTATCAACGTCGCTGGCAAAGGCATCGAGCCGAGTGTAACGATAATATGGTTAGAGATCGAGAGTAAAGATGCGCAGCCAATTTGGGACGGCCGCGAATACGACCGAGTATCGTTTAGCCGGCATTCAACTCTCGGCGACGAATTAGCCGCGCTGTAGATCGCGGGTGGAAACGTTTCGTGGTGTTTCGCGTTCCGGAAAAGTACCGACGACGATACGGCTATGCAATTTTCCGATGCATCGCCAGACGGGGACGCGGGGCGCCGTCTGGACGGCCATAATCACCTCACCTCAACTCGCATCTATGCTTTTTCGCGACGAGCGCCTCGCACATGAATGCGCGGGAATGCACAACGTGCAATTCACTCGCAAATTTATAAATCGCGATCTGTGAGAGTTTCACCGCGAAATAATTATACACAAATTTTTCTAGAAATCGTGTACAGTGGTGCGAGATTTTTAATACGTTTCTTGGTGCGCGCATGGTGCCTCGTTGAAATTCGATTTCAAGGACTAATCACGGAACTGGGTATTCTTGAAGCAAGATAAGATCGAGCTTTAACGCAAGCTAACGAAATATACGTGCGCTATACATAAATGTACGTGCGCTGAACTTCTAGTATTAATGCCAGGTTAATTCGGGATCAATTCGAGCCAGGTAACGTTGAAAATCAGACGTATCTATTATGACAAGTGAAAATCTGAGTTTCAATTTCAGAGAAATTTAATTTACGCTGATATCTCAATAAACGCAATTTACTTTCGATTAGCTTTCGTAGTGGAATAACGCGGATTAAAATCAGCCAATCTGAGAGCGCGCGCGCGCGCGACCAGGGGAATATCATAAAATCTGAACAAAATTATGAAACTGGTTAAAATTATGTTCGTTTTACTGCACGATTTACAGCAGCACAAATCTCGGTTTTTTTAAATTTAATGTTGCATAACGATAAAAGAATTCTAAAGAAGCGTTTACGAGCATCGCGCTATGGAAAGAATAATATCCTATAACCACACGGAATTTAATATAGAAATGCAAAAAATGCAAAAATTGAAATACAATTCCCATCTACTGCGAAATCTCTATCATGCTTCAATATCTTTTAAAGCACTTATCTAAATCGCCATTAATAAACAATAGCGATAACGCTAATAAATTAAAAATATCAGGCAAAATCTTGCTTCAAACAAATAAAAATTTTTGAGTCATTAAAATCTATTATATACGTTAATCTAACAATCCGTATGAGAATATAATTTTATTGAATTTTGTAATCAAACTAATAAAATTCGTAAATATTATTATAAATATTTCAAATCAAATTCAAGTTCGTCCTTTCTTTTTCTGCTATTATTTCAGAAATCTATATCTAAAATTAAACAAAAAAAACTTAATATTACGTAACTTCGAGAACTACATATTCAACAGCTGTTCCAAAGTCACTTGATATACAGATTTCACAACAACATTTCATTCGTCGTAATATAACTCTAATTTAATGAAACTACAAGTAAAGTCTAATTTGTTTCTTAATCAAATACAATACCGTCCATTCTATCTAAATAACGCATAAGCATAAATCTAAACAGAGATATCACAATAAACTTAACACAAGATTGATTTGCGTCATGTTATTGTAATGTATAAAGAGAATATCAATCATTCTGTGTATAAAGAAAATATTTATATAATGAAAATTATTACACTTATTATTAATAAATTATTATTAATAAATCTGGCGCAAAGAAATACAAAATTCTGTATTTATGACGTTTATTTCTTAAATACCTACAATATGTAAATATTCTATCAGTGTTTGACAATTATTTGATTGATAATTTACATAAATTTTTATACTTATAAAAAATATGCTTTTAAATATGATAAAAAATAACAATAATTTCATTAAATATATTACACATTACAATATTGCAATAATTTATAAAAGATATAATTCGATTGTTATATATATATGTTTGTCATTGTTTGTCTCTTTTAAAGCTATAGTATTAAATATTTAAATACATAAAATTTAGAAGAGTAAAAAGTTTTATTTAAAAACCTTAAAATCATCTCTTCCAATAAAATAGATACATATATTACGTGATGTTTTCCTTGAAACCCTCCAAATTTACATATCATATTTACATGAATTGATTAAAATGGGAAACCCTGTATAATGGACCGAATATAAATAAAGAAATTTATTTCTGCAAAAATCAAGCCTGTAGTTCAAGCCTGTAGTTCAAGCCTTCAATTTTCCAATGTATAGGACCGACAAATTGTCAGCTGTGAAAAAATATACAAATGAATATTTCTGAGCTCAATTTTCTCCGTGCCGTACGATCAGACATTGTGTTTATCACGTAAAAGAGACAAGAACGTCAGATTCGTAAAAGAGATTATACTCGAGAAGATATCGATCGACTTCACGTGTGATCTTCGCCTACATACTACGTTTACATCGAGATATTCTCGTTTATTGAATCTCGGCCCTTTTCTCTGATCCCTACCAACAACCCCTTCTCGTCAAGATAAATAAGTTCTTTCCTCATAAATAATACGATAACGAAGCACTCTTTCTTTTTTTATCGTTGCTCTGTGCGATAAAGGCTGACAGTAAAGGTGAAATTTGCTGACTATGCGGATGGTAGTCGTAAATTTTATCCGCAAAATTAAGCATTTTTTTACGTTGTGGGATGCAAGAAGATGTATAGGCGGGCATTTATATTTTGCAGAAATGCCCATACTTCCTTTATTTTGATAATAAAATTTCAAAGGAAAAACTCTACAGTCGTTTTTTATTGTCACACTTAGAAATCACAGGATGTAACATACACGATCTCTTATAAAGAAATAATAAAAAATATAAAAATTTTATCCTTTTTGCAGTAGATATTGTGCTCCGTATTGTCGACAGTTTTGTAATCTTACATTTTGCTCTAAGAAGAACTAAGGAATGTTTAATCATCACACAAATCATTTAAAATTGAATAATTTAAAAAAAAATATCGCATACGTTTCTTCAGTAAAAGTTAAACGTTCACTTTTCCAACAGAAATGAACGCAAGTCGTATGTTAAAATCATATTGTTACTATAAAAAAACGAAATTTATAGGCAATTGTCATAGCAGTGTATCAACGTGACGATTCAGTTATACAAAACTTTTCGTTTCACTACATTTTTCATATTAATCCTACAAAGTTTAAAAGTAAAGACTATAAGATGCCTATAAGAACCAATACAAATTATAGTCAAGTATACATACATTTTTTTTATTAAAAATGATTTCTTACAATAAACGTTTCAACCTTAGTCGTAATATAAAAACTAGTCATATAGGAATTTAAGAAATTATCAATCGTTTATTACAAGAAATAAAATTAATATTTTTATTCAGTAATCGCAATTATAGTGAATATAACTATTTTGTTATATTCATTTAATATTTATGATAATAATAACTAAAAAATAAGTTTAAAAAACTAAAGATGTTCAAGCAGTGCGTGACTGTTATTAACAGTCAGAACAATTGATTGTATATATTTGCCTGATGAAAAACAATTACATATAACATATAATATATATACATATTATATATATATATATATATATATATATAACAATAAATAGTAATATATAATTATGACTAAATTATAGTTAAATTATGATAATTCTAATCATATTTTCTCTCGTGTTGGTTCACATAAATAAATGATCATATCACTTTGTCATACGCCAGATGGATAAGCTGGTCGAGAAGAAGTATTTCGATTGGACGAATTACCCCTTCTCGACTACCCCTTCTCTACCAGCTTATCCATGTGGTATATGACAAAACTGAGATATGAGATAATTTATCCACGCAAACCAGCACTGAGAGAAAAAAATGATTAGAATTAGCATAATTTAACTATTTTATATTTATATTCTTGTATGACTAGTTTTTATATTATTATCGTTATTTTGTGATAATAAATTTGCGAACGTTTTTATTTATAAGCGATTTGTACAATATATTGAGGAGGACCCTAAAAGATTGAAACGTTTATCATTGTCATTTTGAATAAAAGAAATTTAATGATCAGCTCGTATTGGCTCTATAGAGAGGCATGTCACATTCTTTGATTAATTTATCATTAGAGCCTTTTATTATTAATTTATCATTAATAGAAATTCTATTAATAATGTTTAAAAGTAAAGATTACGAAAATAATAATAAAAAGTGTGACAATATAATTTCTTCCTATAGCAGTACCTTATGAAATACGCGAATCTTTGAAGAATTAAATCCGATAGATCGCGTGAATGCAACCGCTAAAGCAGTTTATTAGCGCAGCGAATGCTTGTTAGAGTCAGAGCTTACAGCCATCAGTGATAACAGCACGCGTCGCGTCAGACGCGCACGCGACAGGACGCACCGCGCGGTACGGCGTTGCGACGCGTCGCGACGCGACGCGATGTATCATCGCGCCGGTCGAGCCGATGGACGATCGTCGCGAATCGGAGCCGATTTGGAATGTGAACTAGATTTCGAGCTGCCGGTCAGACATGACCGGACGGCTCTCCGATGATCGTTTCGGAGCGGCGCGGCGCTCGAAAGGGGATGAAACAAAATGAGAAGGAGAGAGGAAAGAAAAGGGGAAATGCGTAAGGCAGCGCTCTCTTACCTTCCCACGTCACGGCGAGATACACGCGAAATCCGTCCACGCCATTCTCTCTCTCGAGCACAGCACCGCACTGCACCATACACAGAGCACTACTTGAGCAACACCTCTTCCACTGATCGGTCGGTCGGTCGGTCTCTATCTTGAACTATATCCCTCGTTCCTTCCCCGTCTACCTTTCTGCCCTTTCTATCTTGGTCCACCTGTCCGTTTGTCCTCTCCCTCTTTCTATCTCTGTCTGCCTGTCTCTCTCTCTCCCTCTCTTCCCCTCTCTCTCTCTCTCTCTCTCTCCCCCTCTTCTCCTCGGTCACGCCGGCAGGAGAAATCCTTCGTCGGCGGCCTCCCTTTTCTACAGCACCTTCTCCTTGCTCTCGGGGGCGACGATCGGGCCGTGTCAATGAGCGCGACGTCGCGATCGGAGCCGACGACGGTGACGATGACGACGGCAACGACGAACGTCGCCGATGGCGAGGGCGACGCGAGACGTGATTAGGAGGAAGAGGAAGAAGAAAAGGAAGCGCCTCCCTGCGGCACGCGCGCGCGCGAGAGAGAGAGACGATCCAGCATCCAGCTACGCCCGTGACAGCGTCTGGGCAACTACTGAGGAGAGGATCTGCGCGGTTCCGGCGCAAGCTTTCGTTCCCGTTTTGACCAGACACGGCGCCACCGTGGACCACCCTTTTCGACGAGGGAGAAAGCGAGGATCCGGGGTGAGAAGAGACACGCGGACCATGAGGATAAAGACACGCGCGCGCGTCTACTCTACGCGTCGTACTCCGATGGGTGAGAGATAAGAGTGATCCCAATCATATTATGATATTAGAAAATATATCCCTCTTTTTCCTTCTCATTTTCGTATCTACGCATCGATGTTTACTTGCCGATACTACAGGTGGTATTGATATTTTATGAGAATATTACTGTCAATATCCTGCGCCCAGACTATCATCTTTTATTATTATTTCTAAGTCTTTTCAGAATAACGAGCTATCACCTGTAAGTTGTTTATTGCAATTTATAACGTGACTTCCTTGCTTTGTAATCACAAATTACATGTTTAAAGGTAAAAAAAAATAGTTTAACAACGTTATTTCTCTTTTGATCGTGGAAAACATCTCTTTCATCGTTTGATATTTAAAAATATTCCACAGTTTTTAATGCTTATATGAATAAGAATTGATACGTTTCGAAATTTCTTTTATCTTTATGTAAATAATATAAAATCTCTAAATTATTATATATTATTATCTAATTATATACATAGATATATTAATTGTTTTACGTCATAGGGAAAAAAATAATTTATCAATTTCTACAAAAAGTAATTTCTTCATTTATATCAGTTTCGACTAAGCTGCCTCGAATGGAATCCGAAAATTTAACTTTCGCGTTCCCATTTCTCTTTTCAAATAAATGACATAGATATCGTAAAATGTATCTTTCCGAAATACCTCAATACGTCATAATATTGTTACAGTCTAAATTTGAGCTGTTTTGAGGATGAAAGTAGACGACCCAGGTTCCACCGCACTAAAATTCAAATTTATCGTGATCATATAAACTGTACTAGCAAGGATATACGAAATGTATTAACACTCAGCTTAAAATTTCATTTAATTAAAGTTTGCCGAGTTCACCACGCTTCTAGATACAATGCCGATTGGGGTCGCGAAGATTACACTGCTGAGATAACACGGCATCTTGGCGAGATGAGTTTCGCGCGGTCGATATCGAGCTACAATATCGGAGGCGACGTACTAACGGGCCACCGTACTGATATCGTACGTCGTTAAAAAGGCAAGGCCGCCTTTTACCCGTCGCGGCACGATCATCAATAAATTCGACGAGCTACGTGATGGGGCCTCGTTACAATTTACGGCTGAAAACTGATGTGTAAATAGCGACGAATAGACGATATTTTCATATAGAACGATGCTATGATCGGAATCACGAACTAATCAGGCAATCTCTTTCTGCCTTCCTATATATAACGACATAATTTTCATTAGACGCAATTAATTGTTTAAAGAATGAAAGACGCAATCGTAGATTGTAGATTGCAGATTATTTCATTGTCTGATAGAAGGAACAATATACGTAATGCATGGACATATTTCAGTTTTTAAATACACATATTAAAATTTTTATGTAAAATCTTACTATATAAAAATTATCAGTTTAAAAAATGTCAATGTAGAAATTAGTGTGATTATTATGAATACTGCAAGTACTGCATATGCAGTATAATCTGTTCTTTTTAATTGTTTATAATATTTGAAAAATCCTGAAGTTTATATGTATCTATATGTATTGTATATTATATTAAATATATGTATATATAAATTTCTTTACACTCATAAATAAATTTCGTGTATATAATATTTTATATTTTCATTACAAGAAAAAAATTATAAGTCTTAAAATTATATTATTCCAAATTAATATCAATTTTTTATTAATATTTGAGTTTATAAAATAAAAAAAAAGTGATAAACTACAGGAATAAAATGCAGGAAAATCTAAAAAAGAACAGACTAATTATAAAATTTTTGCGTATCTCAACGTATGAACGCATTCATCTTCCGCTGCAATTGCATCTGCAAGTACATCCAGAAACGGTCTAGTAATAATAGCCTCTTATTCTACGCTGATTGCAATTCATTTCACTTTACGCAATATGCGATATAAAATTCATAGAATTGCAATTTTATTTAATTTATAATTTAATAGTTAATTAAATAAACAAATATTTATATATAACAAAGTTAATAAATTGATTAAAGAGTTTTATATGTCTACCGTACTTTTCACTTTATGTATATCATTTCACGGGCAATGGATGCGCGATATGAAATCCAATTTAACATCGAAATCTTTTGTATTTATAATATATAAAATATTA